CTGTACATTAGATCCTCAAAACTTATTCATCTTTTTATTTTTATTTGCATTTATTTTATGCTGGATTTATTCCCGGACCATTATATTTTGTTTCTTCAGTTTCTTCTATGCAACCTCCTCTTCTGGTTTAGGAACAATCTGGTCTTTATCAGTAAGGATCATCTCAGTTTAGAAGGGAGAACTCATAGTACATGTGTTCTGTGCCACATCTCAGGAGCTTTGATTATCTGATGTTCTCAGTGACCACAGAATCTACATCTAAACCTTTAAATTCAACATCACCCTCTGCATTTTTAAGAATGTCCGGCAAAAATTCAGCACACTTTTGGGGCCACCGACGCTGCATCCAGCCCCACTGTTTCACCTGGGCACACCTACCAACTCCACCATTGTAATGATGAAATGGCACACATTGCTTCTATAAAATGACCTTTACAGATACTTGGTGGCTTTACAGATATGCACACCCTTTGTGCTCTGGGAAGTTTCGCAAGTGTTCTTAATGTGAACATGAAGATTTGAACTTCTTGCTTTACATGATTTTGTGGGGTTTTCTCTGGTCAAGTGAATAGCAAATCATTTTCAGAGGTCAATTCAGGCCACTTACAGGAAAAGAACTTATTCATCTTATAACTGAAAATGTGCATGTTTTACCAATCTCTTCCCCTTTTCCATATCCCTCAGCCTCTGGCAACCACAATTCTACTTTGTTTCTATGATTTTGTCTTTTTAAAAAATTTCACATATAAATGATGCCATGCAGTATTTGTCTTTCTCTGTCTGGCTTATTTTACTAGCATATTACCCTCCAGTTTCATCCATATTGTCGCAAATAGTGGAAATTATTTTTTTTGGTGGTGGGGGGGAATAAAGCTTATTAATATTCTATTATATGTATATGATACATAAATATATAGTAGATATCTGATACATATAACATATTACTACATAATATATTTATATATAACATTGGCTCATCCATTCATTCATACACAGACACTTAGGTTGTTTTCATATCTCGGCTATTCTAAATAATGATATGATGAACATGGAAGTACAGATATCTATTTCAGACAGTGATTTCATTTCCTTTGGTTCTATACGTAGAAATGGGATCGTAGGGTCATATAATACTTCTATATGTACTGTACACATAGTAGTTCTGTATATATAGTTCTATTTTTAGTACTAAAATATATTTTATGGCACTATAAATATACCATATATATATGTGTATATATACACACACACATATAAGTTCTATTTTTAATTTCTCAGGGAACCTCTATACTGTCTTCCATATGACTACACCAATTGACATTCCCACCAACTGTGTACAAGGGTTCCCTTTTCTCCATATCCTTGCCAACATTTATTTGTTGTCTAAATGTTACATGATTTCTAATCTTTCCCAGCTCTGATCCATTTTGTAAATATTTCACAAGGTAACATTCTTCTTCTTTTATTTTTAATCCTCACCCGAGGATACTTTTTCATTTATCTTCAGATAGATTGGGAGGGAGGGAGAGATAGACTGGTTACCTCCTGCATGACCCTAACCAGAGCCAGGGATGAACCGCAACCAAGGTACTTGCCCTTGCCCAGACTCTTTGGTCCGAGAGCTGACTCTCTAACCACTGAGCAACCGGCCAGGGCTCACAGGGAACATTCTTAAAATACAACCACAAAAATTACTATTATTTCTAAAACAAACAGGCATACAAACAATAAACAAATAAAAGAAGACTTGTCCTCACTGCCTATGGTTTAAACACTTTAGCCGGATTATTTGTTTTCACTAAGCATATATTAGATCATTATAGGAAAAAAAATGTACATGGTAGAGCAAAAGTAGGTTTACAGTAGTTTGTATGGAAAAATAATACAATAATTAACAAATAGTAGTACAAAAATAAACTGTTTCCCATACTCACAACTGTAAACCTACTTTTGTCTGTCCTATATAAGTCGGCAAAAGAAAAATACTCCATAATCCCACCATTAGAAATGATCACTGTGGATATGTTGACATAAATATTCCCAGGCTTGCACTGTTAATTGAATTTAGTTGAATGTTTATGTGCCAGCCACTTTTCTGGGCACTAGAAATATAGTTGTGAACAAAACGTTAAAAAAAAATCTTATCCTAGCTACACTCTAGTAGTGGGAAGGATGAGGAGGCAGATAATATACATAATTAATACGTAAACTAGACCGTACATTGGTAGAAAATCATATGAAGAAATATAAAACTGGGTAAGGGAATGGGGCTAGGATTAGGACTGGGAATAGGAGTGGATTAGGAGTTAAATTTTAGATAGGATTTAGTTGCATATTTAGAACTGTGCCAAAAACAAATTTTGACCAAATAAAATTGACCAAGTATTAATTGATATTGAGCTAAAGCTAGATATCACCATCACAGAATGAAGTTCTGAGATAAATTAAACATCCAAAAATTGTATCCAAAGATGTATTATTAAATTTTGGTATTAAAATGTTCTGTATATAATTTTTTCAAGTTTGACATTACAATATAGGTAGGATACATAAATTTTCAGCATTGGCTACAGGTGCTGGCACAGTGATACACATTTGTGGTATTAAAAAAATTCCATTTTTTAAAATTTTGGTGTTATACTTTTATTTTTTAGAATATCACCTTTATTTATGACTTAGGTGAAATGTGAAACACAAGAGATTAGATTGTTCTCCAGCTAATTAACAAATGCACAAAAACAATAACTATAAATTATATGCTAAAATAAAGTAAAACACCATAATAACTGTACATAAAAAATAAACAAATTGCCTGAAACTTGTCTTTTCAAAAATAAGCTAATTCAAGTCCCAAACCCATCTTAACTTTTCCTCCCATCTCTGAATTTCTATAGAACACTTTCTGTAATTCATAACACACTCATTGTATTGTCTATATTGTTTTTATACAGATAGACATTAATTATATCTCAAACTAGACAGTAAATTCCTTTGAGGAGACTTTACAGTATCTACCACTACTATGTAGCAGGAACCCATCAAAGCCTAGTCAGCATTTATTTTTTGCAAGCATTTCTCTATGAACCAGTTGGAATGAGAAGGATGATGTATGCTGGTGGTAGGATATGGAATCTAGGAGAGTAAAACACAAATTAAAAAACACAGTCAGTATCTAATAGACTGCTGCCTAGACAAAAGGGCTAATATAGTTTTATTTTGCTAATACTAAAAGCCAAACTACAGTATAATTCTCAGCAGCACAATATTTAAATGGAATAACACAAAAACAACTGAAACACATGCACACTTTATTGCAACCAAAGATTAAATAACGATTGTAAATATTACTCCATTTAAAGTCATCAAAAATTGTAGGTAGTATATAACCCAAAAACAACTTGCTGAAGATAGAGTCATTCAATCAAAAGCAATCCTGATATTGTATTCCTGTTGCTTGTGAAGAGGATCCTCAAAAACCTATGCTACTTCTACCTTCCTTTGCAGCATCCCTGAATTCTGGTTAATCCGCGGTGGAGAGTCCATTCACTTTCAGCTGAAGTCTTTGAAAGAGTAAGATTTTTCTTTTGGTAATTCACTCCTCTGTTTCTCTAACATTCCCTTCTTCATGTTCGTTATAGTTTTTTTTTAATGTCTGTATTGGAGGTGATTTGTTATGAATGTTGTTGATTCACAATTTTGGAGGTTTTCCCTCATGAAATTTTGAGATCTCAAAACTGATATTATACTCTTAATTCTTCCTCACAAGATGAGGAGATTCCTAAATGCAATTAATAAATAAATATAGTAATTAAAGTTTATTTTGTTTAATGTTATGATTGCTAACACACCTAACAAATCCACAGAGATTAGAATTATTTAAAATTAAATCACTTGGGGCCGGGAATAAAGTGGTGAATAGACTGACATGGTTGTCAGACAGTAAAAACAGAAGAGAATTTAAAAGAGGGAAGGGTAAAAAAAAATTCAATAATTCCTTTGCAATTGTTCTTATCAAAAACTGACTTCCATCCAGCTGGATCACAGAACCATAGAAAGCTAGAGCAGGAAGAGACTCCTGAAAAAAGGATCAGCCTATCAAATTTTGCTCACACACATAGGAAATCAATTGATATGTTCATTTGGTCAGAAATACTAAAAATGATAATAGTAAATATGCCTTAAATACCACTAACACACACTAATTGCTTTATATGTGTTATCTCTTTAAACCCTTACATTAACACATTAACACTATTATGGCCATTTTACAGATGATACAACTGAGGCTTAGAGGTTAATCGATTTGCTTAAAGTTACAAAACTAGTAAGTGACACAGTACTGCAATTTAAATCCTGGCAGTTAAGCTCCACAGGCAGCCTTAAACATTAAATGACATTGAAATGTGTATGTCTTAGCACAAAAAGCAGAGGTAACACATAAAAAACAAAACTTTGAGCTACTCGAAGGTGATGAAATTTGATACATTCTTTTTTTTTTTCCTCAAAACATTTTTTATATATATTTTTTAATACACCATACATGCAGGTACAAAATAAAAACTATTCTATTTGCTTCCATTATCTTTGTTCTCTGCAGTCTTTTCGCAGTTGCTTCATTCACTTCTAGGTTTCAGTTAATGTCCTCATCCTCACTGTCCCTCTGACTGTTTTGCCTTCTACGCAGGGATACCCAGCCCTTTGAGTCCTCAAAGTTCTCCTGGCCATGCAGCCTCCCACCCTAGCTTGCTGGAGCTTTGCACTGCTTTCGCTTGCCTTCCCCTTGGTAAACCTCCCATTCGGGAGACCTGGAACGAAACGCTGGAGCTCGGATCCGGCAAGGAAGGCGGTCTGCACAGTGTTTACTAGGCCTCCGGAGCATTCCCTGGGCCCTGCCCCCAGCTCCGAAAAGCTTCCTGGAAATGTCCTCGTTATCACTTCCCCCTCTCCGGCAGGGGGCTGGGAGCGGGCGGTCCTCTCCGCCCCCGGCTCCCGCTGTTGCGCGGATGCGCTGGCTCGCCCGCGCCGCCACCCCAGTGCTCGAACCGCCGCGCCCCAGCTCGCAGCTCCGTCGCGCGCCCGGCGCTCAGGTCCCGCCGCGACGCGCCCCTGTCCCGCCCGCGCAGGGCCGGCCTGGCCATGAGGGTCCTCGGTGGGAGCTGCGGCGCTCTGCTGCCATGCCTCGCCTTAGTGTTTTCCGTCTCAGAGGCAAACTGTGAGTAATCAATAGCGTCTTGTCTTCTTTCCCCAGCGATGCCAACTGAACTGCCAGCCAGCCTAGTTGGATTTTCTTTTCAAGGGCTGCAGCCTCCTGGAAAGTTCCTGGGAAGTCTGGACAGCCACCGGCTGATGGAAGCGTGGATCTAGCGGGCAGTGTAATGGTGGGGCAGGGTCACTATTTGCCCCGCTCTGGGAATCATTGTTGCCTATAGGTCAGACCCAAGGACCGGAGTAATAAGCACTAAGTATATAAAGGACACCCACCCATTTGCCCCAACAGCTAAAGTTCCCGGAGGACGGGAATGAGCACATTCCAGCATAAAAGTAGGAGAAAAGGCAACCTACTGTCTTCCCTTTGTACCCGCCCCTGTCCCCAACTAGCACCCCTGCTGCAGCCTACCCCCTTTTGCTATTTCTGAACTTTGAGCTTGGTTTGCTTATTTCAACATTGACCAACGAATTGTTTTAGGATGAGTGCAGTTTTGCATAGCAGTTGGCAGATGTCATTTTCAGACCTTGAAATAAAAAAAACAAACAAACTATTAAATATCGAATTTCTCAGATCATTTTGTACTGAGGATATTTGACAGAGTGCCACTGATATGAAGTAGTGGCGTGAATTTTTGGTCTTTATCTTTGTATTTCCAGTTCTTTAGGTTCCCATGCCTGGATTCAGGGCAGGATACTGAGTTTTCTCTGAAAAATATACGAGCAGTGTTTAGGGTATTTAGAACATTTTCGTTGTCAGTTAACTCGTTTGTTTTCTAAAGTTTAAGCATGTTCATTGATTAAAAATGCTTACTTGTGCTGTTTTGTTCTCAGAAATGACATGGGAGAGATACACTCTGAATTAAAAATAACTTTTAGGTTCCACAAAGCACTAATATAAATTTTTCAAAGAAGCAATTTCAGGAGAATTAAATAGGAATTTACTAACATTACACTAGTTTTTGTTACTGCTTAGGATGAATGAGGTATTTTAAAATTCTAATTTAGAGGCTAGAACATAATTTGTTGATTTTGTATTAAAGAGCTACAATAGCAGAACTTCAGTGCTCAGACCCCTCTTATTAAGCCTGCACGTGGACCATAGGCACTACCTTGTTATCTATGTAGTTTATTAGGACAACCAAATATTTTTCTGTTAACCAGTGCTTTGGAGAAGAGAAAGAGGCAAAAGTGACTTGCCACACTTACTGCTTGTCATCACAGGAATTTGTTAGGCTCTTTCTTTTTATAGAGATTTGTTATATTTTCATTGAATCTGACAGTTAAAAGTGTGTTTGTATGTCTGTCATATGCAGGTATTCAAACCATATATATGGAGAAATACACTTGTTATGTACAGATACTGTTAGAGTGGATACATTCATTCTACCAGTATAACAATATAAAGGCCCTATAATCTCTCCATTTAAAAAAATATGATAATTTGCCCTGGCCAAGTGGTTCAGTTTGTTAGAGCATCATCCTGATTCGCCAAGGTTTTGGGTTCAATCCCTGGTCAGGGCACATACAAAAATCAACCAAAGAATGCATTTATAATTAGATCAACACATTGATGTTTCTCTCTCTCCCTCTCTCCCTCCCTCCAGTTCTCTCTCTCTTTAAAACTCAATAAATAAAAAATTGAAAAAAAAACTTATATGATAGCCCAGCTGGTATGGCTCACTGGTTGAGCATCGACCTATGCACCAAGAGGTCACTGGTTCGATTCCCAGTCAGGGCACATGCCCAGGTTTGGGGACTGATCCCCAGTGTGGGGCATGCAGAAGGCAGCCAATCGATGTTCTTTCTCATCGATGTTTCTACCTCTCTCTATCTTTCCCTTCCTCTCTCTCTAAAATCAATAAAGAAAAAATATTTTTTTAAAAAAAAGTATGATAGTTTAATTAGTTTGAAAATCATCTTGGTTTACTGATGAGGAAACTGATACAGATGGTTTTATTTTGCTCCTTAAGATTTTAAATTTGAGATAGAATTAAAACTCTAAATATTTGATTTATAATTCATGTTTGGTCCATAGAAATATAGTTGCTATTTAAAAAAAATCAAATCACAGGTTTAGTTTTGAGAGAGTGAGAAATCTAGTTCAACTGCTTTGTTTTAACAATAAAGAAATTTTTCAGAGATGTTAACTGACTTTCCAGACATTTCCAGAATGCAGAGAGAGAGAGATATTTAAAAAATATACTGTCTACATATTTTGTCATTTCCCACCGTGTGCTGTAGTGAAGAGAGGACATGTCCCCTTTTGACTGTGTTAATTTGGCCTATCATGACTTCCACTTCTGGATAGATGCAGTCTATCCTAGACATCACTGACTTATATCTTCCTTCTCTTTTTCACTCTTCTCTTTTCTAACTGTTCCTTTCACTATTTATCTATCTTTGTCTTGACTTAAATCCCCTTTATTCAGAGTCCAAAATGTTGCACTGATAGATTTTTTAATTTTTTCTTTTATCCTCACTGGAGGACATTTTTTTTCCATTTTTAGTTCAGATAGAGTGGGAGGGGGAGAGAGAGAGAGAGAAACATCAATATGAAAGGGACACATCGAGTGGTTGCCACCCGCACGACCCAACCAGGCCCAGGGACAAACTGCAACTGAGGTACATGCCCTTAGCGGGAACCGAACCCGGGTCTCTCTGGACTGCAGGCCAATGCTCTAACCGTTGAGCCAAACTTGCCAGGGCTTTGCAATGATAGATTTTTTTTAAAGAAATTTGTTTCTATTGATTTTTTTAGAGAGAGAGAGAAAGAGAAATACTGATATGAGAAACATCAGTTGGCTGCCTCCTGCCCGCCCCCTACTGGGGATTGAGCCCCAAACCCTGGGCATGTGCCATGACCAGGAATCCAACCGGGATCTCTCAGTCCGTGGGACAATGCCTAGTTCACTGAGCCACACCGGCTGGGCTGTTGGAGACATGTTATCAAGGTTAGGTTAGAGTTGGGGTTGTGCTAGAAGAGTTAGAAACAATTTCTGGTATGCAACGACACCACCCTTTGCCATATTCTCTTACCATTAACTCTGTGCTCGGAAACACAGTAATGCTTTTCATAATAGACATTTTTTGTCCACCAAGTTTAATAGCCTCTTTATAGATAAGTGTTCTATATACATCTGTAAACTTTCAAAATATTATGAGAAAAAAAAAGAAGACTGATAATACATATATATCAGTATTCTCTAGCTACAAGTAACAGTAATGATAACTAAAGAAGGAACGAAAGGGAAGGGGAAGGGAGAGGAGTGGAGGGGAGAGAAGGGAAGAGAAGGCGAGGGGAAAAGGAAAGAAAGGAGAAGAAAGAGAAGAAGGAAAAAGGAAGAAAGAAAAAAAGCTGAATGGATTTATTGGGAGACTACTGAATGGCATGCTGAATAAGCAGGCCTAGGGAATCAGGGACTTGGCATTTAGGTGATCTATATAGTGGGAACTCATGTGCTTACTATGTTAGGAGTTGCCACCATAAGACTCATTTCTAACTGCGTTCTTCTAGCCGTATGTGTCTCTACTCATTATTGAAATTCCTAGAAAAGAGAGCCTTGTCATTTTGGCTCAGCTTATTTCTGGAGTCCTGTGGTTCCTAACTCAGTAGAATCATGTAGAGGGCCTGGACAGCCCCCACAGTGCTGGGAAAGAAGCAGAAACAGATAAGTCTACACATTCTAATTATATACACACATGGCCTTCTTTTTATAAACACCAACTGAAAGTATTTCAAGCATACACACATATTTCTAATATAGCGTAAATAAGTAATGTACAACAAAAAGTACCCCCTCCTCGTTGGTTAGTAACCATAACTGAAGAAGAAGGCCCAAGGTTACCATTTCCTAGTTTAATATCCTTGGATGATGTCCATGTGTCCTCTAGTTCTGTCACAATCCCATGTCAATCTGCTATGCTTTATGGACAAAATGATACATTGTAGTGTACCAACATATCATATATGCCAATAGTAATAATAATGAAGAGGGGAATAAAGGTACTCTCGTTAGAGCTTGCCTGTCTCTCTTGGTTATAAGCTTGAGCTGGTATTTATGAAGGACTTCATTCCTCACTACTCAATTCATCAATTCATAAATTCATATCTCTCTCACTCTCAGGGAGTTCCTCATGTTTGAGCTTTTGTCTGCTCTGTGAGCTGAATGAACCACATCCTTCAGGAAGAATCTGAGCCCTGTTGTTCCTACCTGCGGATGGTTGTATTCTTTTATACTAATTTCTACTGTGTACAGTAGTTATGCTGGATGAGTAGCCCTCCTTCTGACCCTGATTTGTATGTGGCAACAGCACTATTGTCACTCTAGAATAATCCTCTTTTTTTTCCTAAATGACGGTAAAGAGCTTTAAATGGCCATAAAGCAGGTTCAGCTTCTAATTCAGCAGAGAATACATTAGGTCCCCTGGTGGATGTATTCCTCCCTGGTTCCCCAATTTCTAGATGAGCAGAAGCCAGTTGCGAGGGAAGAAAGCAAACAATTCGAGAATAGGCCTGTGGGTTAGTTTCTTAGGTCTGTTGGAACAAACAACTGGGTGGCTTAAACAACAGAATTTATTTTCACAGTTTTGGAGGCTAGAAATCTGTGATCAAGTTGTTACCAGAAAGAGGACCTGGCTCTGAGAAAGTTTGCCTAGGGTTAGGTGATCGTGTGTGGGCTTTGACTCTGTGCAGGAAAGATTACACAACTAGTTCTGGTGATTTTTAGAGGACATGTGTTAAAGCTGAGGACAGTGAAGCAAGGAAGGGCCTAGGATAGAAACAACAGGAGAGCCCAGGCTGGGCTGCTTGGGCTCACTAAGAAGTCAGAAGGAAGTCTTGGGGAAAGGCTCAGGGGGTTAGCCTGGGGTGAACTGCCACTGCCCAATGTTCCCTGATTGTAAGTCTCATGGTCTCATGGGGTTCCTCCCTACCTTTTTTATTAGATTTTAAAATTGAATTTTAAAGAATAAGAGTGAATCATCGATTGGCTGCCTCCTGCACTC